AACACATCCGACCCGACGTAGAGCACACATTCATGTTAGACCTACTAGTGGACCATAAACCGATTTTTCATTATACCATACCGGGCCAACAACCTTTCAAGGATTCATAATGGCCCTATCGATGACACACACGATAAGCCGTCTAATCCGGAACAAACTCTCACAGTCCACAACTAAATGAATAGAGAGCCTTTCAGGCATAAACTCTCACGTTAATGATAGTACTAGAATCTTCATACTTGGTTTCAATCCTTAACAATCAAGTGACCATCATGTCACACATACAAATTTTCCCGTGGGACACGCTCCCACGACCTTCTATACCAGGTAGCAAAGTCTGTACCACCATACCACCAATTGTACTAATTCTGTAAAGCAAATCAAGGATCCACAAATCAATACACAATGCTTCGTACATAGGACACCGTTCTCAGGTGACACTAAAAGAAATGCCAGCTCACTTTGAACCTCTGAAGTCTTCCCCCGCTCCTTCGAGCTCGTGACATTCTTATTAACACCAAACCTCGACATTGGTCCTCAACTTCCAAATTTCTATACCACTTACTACATTTATCATGCCGCTACGCGAGATTATAAGAATTCATCATAACCCTTGAACTACTAGTAGAATAAATGCTCCATTGGCTAGAAACCTTTGACTTAACACATTTTAGAAGAACTATCGCAACACGCAACTGAATTCCCATAACCACAGAAAATACAAACCTCCAGTCGTGGTCTAAATTGCCATAATTCTTCCGGGATCCATTTACACATAACAAGGACATTTGAATCAAATATCTCCCAAATAAATCAAATTATGGTGGTTGTCAAGCCCGCACGTGCAACCACAAACCACTTGTATAACTTAACATGCCAAAGGAACTGATCATTACCAAAATCATGCTGATTCAACCATTACTATCCGACCCAACTTCTTCTAATTTACTCATGACTTGCCTTAGAAATAATAATAGCTCTATTCGAAAATATAACAAACTCAATCAACACTCATCCCGAGTGACCTGAATCACGAGACCCCATCGTCTCTATACCTATGAACTATCGCATACCCTCCTTATGTGCACAATAACATCTTCAATCGGTACACCCATTCTGAAACATCCTCTACGAATCCGAAGTCGTTTCCTCCTATTTCTCTAATTCTAAACCGCAGACCTGATGATAACATAGAACACTTCAAGTCCCTTTCATAACCCACTGCAATAACTCGATCCTTCACCATACAACTGACCCAAAATTCCTAAGCCTTGCACTTAAATTCTTGAACCCACTAGAATCGTTGTTGAGAGTCACCCACTTTGACCCAGTCCCGAATATAATCTAACTCCAACGCTATGCTAGCACATGAACACTCCCCAATAAGCAACCGTATGAATTCGTTTCCTTGTACATCACATCCACAAGAAGCATAAACTCTGATTCTTCCCCCTAAAACTATACATGAATCGATAAGGCGAAATATAGCACACATTCATCAAGTCCTTTGCTCGAATTACCCCTGATGTTTTCTTTTCTTAGTCATAAATAATCCACCAATGCACCGATAATCAAAAACTGTACAAGTAGATAACCACGCGGTCCAATCGTAGATGGTGGGCTCCCCCACATATCTTTAGGCTACCATCAAATAATGTAGAACCCACAAAGATTCCTCCGTCTTAATTACCATGATCTCGCACTGTTATCTTGCCAAATGTTTCATAGTCCCTTGTTAAACTCTTCATGAACATTTCGAATTATTAGCTACATTCACATATTCGACCTTTTACCGAGTAGTAAGTAGAACTCTTCGTATAAATTTCATCAAAATCATGCAACCGCTAACCTGTCCATAGGAGATAGATAGCCCACCTACGGAATTCCATACCGAAATATTCCAATGATGCTGTATAGGATACAACTACTACGAAATCAGTAAACACTCATGAGCCCATGCTCGTCCACCGGCTGTAAAAGTCTATTCATTCCCCAAAGACATCAATTGAAAGTCCGGCAATACATTTCAAACCCGAAGTCACGTTGCATCCCAAAAACGATAATCAAGTTTCCACATCCCTATTCATTTCAAGCAAACTCCTCTCTGCCATATTCTATCTTCCTCAGTATAGTAGCCACTATCCCAAAGAAAATTTGTAGACCTAGTCACCTTCCACCATGATTCCCAAATCACTCTAAACTTTCTCAAGACATGTAGCTATCCTATCACAGAATCCATATGATACTCTGCCACTCCCACTTCGGTTAAACCATCTCCTTTGAGCAACTTCTCATCCTCTGCTTTTCATACTTGACCTGCTAGCAATTCAACCACCGCGAGACATCTGCCACCATGTCCTTCCTCATACCTTTCTACCCAAATGTTGCATCAAATCAAAATCCATCCCTGTAGCACCTGAATTAATAAAATGCTTCCAACTTTAAGCCTCCTTGAAGGTCATCTTTCTCGAGCCATTAGCATTCGAAACACCGATTTGATTTTGAAATCGCTACACACCGCTATCTCTGACAACCATTTCTTAGACACTATTTCACCACACCTTGCCCCGAAGGAAAATCAAAAAGACCATAACACCGGCGAGCCTTAATACGTTCAAACAAGGACGACGACACCACATCACAAACGAGAATTTTCACCAAGTTCAAAAATATCAAAGTCTCATTACCCCATCAACCAAAGCCTGAACATCCATAGTCCGATTGCCTTTCCTCTGTTGGAATTAAATGTCGAACCTCTAAACCATGCACTAAAAAATCCTCATTTCGAGTCATTCACTACTTCGACACATGAACAAGCACCCTACCATTACACAAACACTGTGCGATAATAATGCATGAACATAATAATAATCTGTGTACAACCTCGAAACCATAGGAAATACAGATACTAGGTTGAAATGAGAGAGCACCCTTCCGCAAGGCGACGATAATAGCCTTCCCGAATACGCAGGGAGAAACATCTTGCACCATGACTGCCATACCACTAAAACTCATTGGTGTCCAATTGATAATAAGCGCCCGACGTCGCATAAGATTGAGTAGAAAGGAAATAAAGGCATAAGTTTCAATGGAATCAAATCGCACGATGAGGAATCAAGAAGGGAAGTGCTCCTAACAGACCTGTAGCCTCTCGAAGATAAGTACAGGCATCTCTGTACTGATCCGCAAGACTCTACTATACTTGCTCATGACTCATGAGTAAGGGTGGCATGTGGGCCGGTTAGGACCGGGACTGGCCCAGGACCGCAAGCCCATATGGGCGGTGGGCCTAAACGGTCCTAACCGGATAGGACCGGAACTGTGGGGAGGTGGGCTGGGTAGTGGGCCGGTCCTATAGGGGAGGCCCGCGAGACCGGGACCATTTGGGATCGGGACCGGCTGAGAAGTAGGCCGATTCAAGCGGTCCTAAACGGGCCTATCCGGGCCCAACAGATAATTTTGAAAAAAAAAATTGACCGTTTGGCAGAAATAGAAGAAGAAATAGATTTTGATGAAATACGACCGGATGACGATACACCCACTAGTCCTGCTCCTGAAGTTAACCCAACTAATAATAATCCAAATGATGCCCCGTCTGACCCTCTTGTTACTGCCCCTACTTTTTCTAGACAGCCTTCTAAACGGGCAGAAACATCTCTTGTTTGGCCATTTTTTACTCAACTAAGAGAAAAAATAGGACTAAGTGTAAAACTTGTAGCAAAAAGTTAGTTTTTAAATATGTTGGAAGTCGGGGGAGGGGGACGGAAAGTTTGACTATACACATATTGCTACACCCTCAAGATAAAACTAGATATTTTCGTATGAAAGCTTTGGCCGAGGGAACAAGTGCACCTAGTATGGCTGACCTTAGTACTGGGTCAAATCAATTTCAACCGAAAATTAACACTGTTACCGGTGGTATTTTATATTATGATCCAAAAAAAGATCGGGAAGAATTGGCAAAAATGGTTATTGTTATGTGCTTACCCTATAGTTTTCCTTCTAACCCT